ACCAGAAGAAGGCCTTTGCGGAAGGGTTACCACGCGCAGATGGCTGGAAAAAGATTTTCCCTCAGCAAACAGCCGACCAGAAGAAGGCATATGGGGAAGGGTTACCACGCCCAGATGGCTGGACAAAGATTTTCTTCAGCTAACAATCGACCAGCAGAAGGCATGTGACATGTGGGGAAGGATTACCACGCCCAAATGGTTGGGAAAGGATTTTCTTCAGCTAACAATGGACCAGAAGAAGTCATATGGGGAAGGATTACCACGCCCAGACGGCTGGAAAAAGATTTTCTTCAGCTAACCACCGACCAGAAGAAGGCATATGGGGAAGGGTTACCACGCCCAGACGGCAGGAAAAAGATCTTCAGCTAGCAACCGACCAGAAGAAGGCATATGGGGAAGGATTACCACGCCCAGATGCCTGGAAAAAGATCTTCTTCAGCTAACAACCGACAAGAAGAAGGCATATGGGGAAGGATTACCACGCCCAGATGCCTGGAAAAAGATTTTCTTCAGCTAACAAACGACCAGAAGAAGGCATATGGGGAAGGATTACCACGCCCAGATGCCTGGAAAAAGATTTTCTTCAGCTAACAACCGACCAGAAGAAGGCATATGGGGAAGGATTACCACGCCCAGATGCCTGGAAAAAAAAATTTCTTCAGCCAACAACCGACCAGAAGAAGGCATATGGGGAAGGATTACCACGCCCAGATGGCGCGCAAAAGATTTTCTTCAGCTAACAACCGACCAGAAGAAGGCATATGGGAAAGGATTACCACGCCCAGATGGCTGGAAAAGGTTATCTTCACCTAACAACCGACCAGAAGAAGGCATATGGGGAAGGGTTACCACGCCCAGATGCCTGGAAAAAGATTCTCTTCAGCTAGCAACCGACCAGAAGAAGGCATATGGGGAAGGACTACCACGCCCAGATGGCTGGGAAAAGATTTCCTTCAGCCAACAACCGACCAGAAGAAGGCATATGGGGAAGGGTTACCACGCCCAGACGGCTGGAAAAAGATTCTCTTCAGCTAACAACCGACCAGAAGAATGCATATGGGGAAGGATTACCACGCCCAGATGGCTGGAAAAAAGATTTTCTTCAGCTAACAACCGACCAGAAGAAGGCATATGGGGAAGGATTACCACGCCCAGATGGCAGGAAAAGATTTCCTTCAGCTAACAACCGACCAGAAGAAGGCATATGAGGAAGGATTACCACGCCCAGATGCCTGGAAAAGGATTTTCTTCAGCTAACAACCAACCAGAAGAAGGCATATGGGAAAGGATTACCACGCCCAGATGGCTGGAAAAGATTTCCTTCAGCTAACAACCGACCAGAAGAAGGCATATGGGGAAGGGTTACCACGCCCAGATGGCTGGAAAAAAGATTTTCTTCAGCTAACAACCGACCAGAAGAAGGCATATGGGGAAGGACTACCACGGCCAGATGGCTGGGAAAAGAAATTCTTCAGCCAACAACCGACCAGAAGAAGGCATATGGGGAAGGGTTACCACGCCCAGACGGCTGGAAAAAGATTCTCTTCAGCTAACAACCGACCAGAAGAAGGCATATGGGGAAGGGTTACCACGCCCAGATGGCTGGAAAAAAGATTTTCTTCAGCTAACAACCGACCAGAAGAAGGCATATGAGGAAGGGTTACCACGCCCAGATGCCTGGAAAAAGATTTTCTTCAGCTAACAACCGACCAGAAGAAGGCATATGGGGAAAGATTTCCACGCCCAGATGGCTGGAAAAAGATGTTCTTCAGCTAACACCCAACCAGAAGAAGGCATATGGGGAAGGATTACCGCGCCCAGATGGCTGGAAAAGATTTCCTTCAGCTAACAACCGACCAGAAGAAGGCATATGGGGAAGGGTTACCACGCCCAGATGGCTGGAAAAAAGATTTTCTTCAGCTAACAACCGACCAGAAGAATGCATATGGGGAAGGATTACCACGCCCAGATGGCTGGAGAAAGATTTTCTTCAGCTAACAACCGACCAGAAGAAGGCATATGGGGAAGGATTACCACGCCCAGATGGCTGGCAAAAGATTTTCTTCAGCTAGCAACCGACCAGAAGAAGGCATATGGGGAAGGATTACCACGCCCAGACGGCTGGAAAAAGATTTTCTTCAGCTAACAACCGACCAGAAGAAGGCATATGGGGAAGGATTACCACGCCCAGATGCCTGGAAAAAGATTTTCTTCACCTAACAACCGACCAGAAGAAAGCACATGCCCAGATGCCTGGAAAAAGATTTTCTTCAGCTAACAACCGACCACAAGAAAGCATATGGGGAAGGATTACCACGCCCAGATGGCTGGGAAAAAGATTTTCTTCAGCTAACAACTGACCACAAACAGCAAGGAAAACCTGCTATTGGGCGGGACACTAAAAGCAACCGGTTTAAACTTGAAGGAGAATTCGGATGGCTCAGAGATGTTATTCCCCAAAAGAGGGTGGTTTAAGAAAATTGAGATGTTCAGCTGGTAATTTAATATTGTCAGACATGGACGGCACCCATCTGGGTTAGGGTTTCGAGTGAGTTTGGGATGGGTTTTGGGTGGGTTTTCGATGGGTTTGGGTGGGTTTTGCGTGGGTTTGACGCGGTCTTTTTCGCACAAGCAAGAAGCAAAACCCGCTACGGGGCGGGACACTAAAGCAAATCCTGCTTCCTCAGAGCTGTGTTTAGGTGGGTTTTGGGTTTTGCATGGGTTTGAGGCGGTCTGGTAACGATTTTTTTGTCTTGGCAAAACCGTGACGCAGGTGCATGTGGTATAAAGTTGTGTCTTGCCAAAACTCGTGGCGGTGACGCAGGCGCCCGAATAAGGTTTGTGTCCTGGAAAAACGTGTGGTGGTGACGCAGGCTTGTGGTAAGGCTTTTGTCTTGGTTCTTAAACGCGTGGTGGTGACGCTGGTGCTTCTGGTAAAGGTTTTTTCTTGGCAAAACGCGTGGCTTGTGGTAAGGCTTCGGTCTATGATCTCCACATTGTGCCGAGAAAACTCTCAGCACTGGACATGGTGAACAACCCAACAACCACTACTTGTGAGGGCTGAGGACCTGGCCAGCTCCTATTTCTGAGGGCGACGCGAACTGACAACTCCAAGATCCAAACAGATCCGAACCGCGTGGCAGGACCCTGAATACAATGCCGCTCGCGTATGCAAGCATGCATATACCAAAAGAACGCACAGGGGAGTGCAACACGTAACAAGACATGCTCGTAGGCATCCCTTGGCGCAAGCAAGCGCGTGCGTGGGTCTTGGCAAACCGTGTGGCGGAGACGCAGGTGCTTATGGTCACAGGTTCTTGGCTAACTTCAAAAAACGCATGGCAGGTGCTTCTGGTAAGGTTTTTGTCTCGGCAAAACACGAGGCGGTGATAAGGTTTTGTCTTGGCCATCGCGTGGCGGTGACGCAGGTGCTTGTGGTAAGGTTGTCTTGGCAAAACAAGTGGCAGTGACGCAGGTGCTTGTGGTAAGGTTTTGTCTTGGCAAAAACGCGTGGCGGTGACGCACTCGTGGTGGGGGGTTGGGAGGGGGGGAGAATGGCTGTTTGTTGAGTGCGCTCCGTGCTTCACCATTTGGGGGGGGAGACAAAAGCCTTACCACAAGCACCTGCGTCACCGCCACGCGTTTTCCAAGACAGAAACATCAAAAACCTTACCATCACCGCCACGCGTTTTGCCAAGACAAAAACATAAAACACCTTACCACCAGCACCTGCGTCACCGCCACGCGTTTTGCCAAGACAAAACCTTACCACAAGCACCTGCGTCACCACGACACGCACTTGCGTCACCACCAGGCGTTTTGCCAAGACAAAAACTGGCCAAGCCTGGAGCGTGACCTCGTACGATGTGGTTCTGGGTAACCCCACCACTGGCGAAGCACGGGGCACATCATTTAGCAACCATTTCCCCACCCGCCCCAATCCCCCACGAGGTGGTTCTGGGCAACCCTTCCACTGGCGAAGCACGGAGCATACTCAACACTCAACTGGCAACCATGTGTCCCCCGCCTCAAACCCCCCACGAGGTGGTTCTGGGAAACCCCCACCAAGGCCAAAGCACGGAGCATACTCAGCTAACAGCCAGTTTCCTCCCCTTAAAGGAGATGCGGTGGTCGTTAAGGAGTGTCGTTATATATGGTTATATAGATGACGTGATGGATTTGATGGATTTCGTTTCGTGATGTCGCTGCGTGATGGATTTGGTGGGTTTTCCTCTTAAAATTAAATCATCTGCGTTAAAGCACGGGGTAGGGTTGGCGGGAGCCGCCGCGCTTCGCTAAAAAAGGTGGAAAAACACGAACCCTCTGCGTGTTTTGGCGTTGTCGAAGCGCAAATAAACGATGACCCTCGCATGGACGCAGCGTGTCGTCATCGCACGAACGACGACCCTCTGCGTATTTGCTGTCATGGTAGCCATTTCCATGGCGTCCATGGATCCGCAAGCTTTGCGGATTCGCGCCGCTCACCCCAACTTGCACGCTGACAATTTTTGCAGAAGCGTGAGGATCCCAGCCACAAGCCGCAAAGGGGCAAAGCAACACCGCAACGACGAGCAGCGAGAGCGGCGTGGGTTTGCAAGAGAAGCCAATCTTTTTGCAATCCTTTGCCGGAGTGCTCTATGTACTCATGTGCTCTGCACTGCCCTCTCCGAGGGACTGGCACCGTGCGTTTCACACAGCCAAAGTGAAGGGCCCTCTTCAAAGTGCAATTAAATTGGCTGAGGTTTCTCCACAGCCGTGGGGCGTTCAGGAAATGCGTTCAATTGCACGTTGTGGCTCAACCTGCGCTGCCTCGTCCACATCTTCCCGGAGCCACTCGCGAACAAACGGCAGGGGAATGCCCTGAGGAGATCTCCAAGGCGTGGAACCTTTCTTGGCCAGCGCGGCCATGTCAGAGTTTAAGTGTGACCGAATCCGGAGGCTGTCTCCAAGCCCCACAAGGACGCCTTACGATGGCAGTCGAACTCGTTGATGGGCAGTTCCTATGACCAGCAAGGACCTGGAAGCCAAAAAAACAATGCCGACAGACAATGCAGTTTCCGGGAAAATTTGCGTGCATTGGGCCATTCGCCCCGTCGCACAAACAGCGCATATGGGCCAGTCAAACGGATCAAGAACAGGTCATACTTGAGTAGTACCTGACCATCCACAATCTGTGCTCAATGAGAAGGAGCGACAAATCTAGCTATAACACATGTGCCAAGATTGTCTCCATCGTGCAGGTTGTTTTCTGTTCGCCCTGACACTGCTGCATCTTGCTGCCTCTATTGCTCCAGATAACGAGCACGTCATCAAAGCCGGAGGAGCGTCATGCCCGGGGACGCCTCAGCTCTGGCAACAACTTCATCCGTTTGCTTTGCAAGCGCTGTGGGCACTTTGTGTGTACTTGCTGCTGATGCATAGGCCAAGAATACCTCTTCTTCTCACGCAGCTGGATTCTAGGTTCGTGTCTCCAACACGATCTCTCAACGAATCGAATACGCAAGCCACGCACGTAGACACGCTGATGAGTGGGGAGGGGGGAGGGATCGGGGAGCACCAACATGCCGGCTCACAAATTGGTTGCTGTTGTCTGGCATACGAGATGACATACAGGTGCAGCCAGCTAGCTGAGCGGAAAGTACTTGAAAGGCGGCGGCACCTGAGCCACAAGATGTACGCCGGCACCCAACAAATTGCGAAGGAGCTGGCAGGAGACTGTATGTTGGAGCGCATCCAGGCGGAGAACGTCAACTTCACCTGGCAACACGTGCAGGTTAGCTCTTCGTATGAAAAAAGGCGTGCACTGCTGTGTAAAATGTACACGACTCTGTATCAGATACCATTGAGAAACGCTGCTATGTGCCGGGAGAAGCTGCAGCCTGCAAACTCTGGTGGAAGGGTCAGTTCCGGCGATGAAGAGCGCAGCTCTTCCGCAGGGTTCAATATGCGCATTACCTCGAACGAGGGCACTGGATTTCCTCAGGTCAAAGCAGGTGCAAAGCTCTGAAGAAGCTGAGCTGCGCTCTGTAATTGGCTCATCTAAGTGATGCTACCTCAAGGTGTGCATTCCAGTCCCAAGCGATGTACCGAGGAAAGAGGGACAGCAGAGCACAAAGAGCGAGCAGAGCGAGGGAACCTCACGGAGATAACCCCTTTCGCGGAAAGACATCCCTCCGCCGCCTGGCCTCGTCCGTTTGCCGTCGCAGCTCCTTTTCTCGCAAAGCCAAGCTTCTTTCACGGTCCGCGGCCAAAAGGGCCGTGTAGGTCTCCGGCTCCCACAGGCAAAGCCTGCCTTCAAACATCTTCAAACGAACTCCGGAAAGGCACAGACACACAAAGCCACGCAGACACAGACACACACAGACACACATCTCTACACACACTGACACTGCGCTACAGTCTAAGCGACTGGGCTTTGAGGTCCTAAATGTCTTCACCTTTAGTCTTGCCATGCTTTGCTAAACCTGCCTGAGATGTTGGAGACGTTGAGTTTGGGCCTGAAGCTTTCTTGGTTCTCCATCTCGCGAAGAGTAGCCACCATGGATTATCGATTGCCAAGCCTTTTTGATCTCGTCGTCGCTCACTTCACTTGCCACACCTGACAAACGCAATCCCAACAAAGTAGACTGCAAAGGAAGAAGCGAAAAGGAGCAGCGCAGGGCATCGCGGAGAGCACCAATAGACTACGTTTCCCATAAGCCATAAACTCTTTAAAAGACGACTTCCAAATTCGAAGGCTCCCTTTTTGATACTGGGAAGCAAGCCTAGCCCGAGACAAACAATCGCGAACACGTCCCTCCAAGAAGTGGCCGCTAGGGTCCCTGCGGGGTTCTCTGTGGGATTCTCTGGGGGTGGGCAATCCAGGCACACTCTGCGGGATTCTTTTGGGCCGGGAAAATCTACCAAATTCTAAGAACGCCCGAGGGAGGGTGGGGAACAAAACAGTCTCCAGAGACAGACTGGCAAGGAAACATCCCAAACCGCCATCCCAGCCAAACTATTGCAATCCCAGCAAACCATCAACTTCCATCAGGCCGTCGCAAGAACGGAATGTCCAGCATCCCAGCCTAGTCCTCCGTAGTAGTCCTCTCTGGCATCAACAACCATCATGACTAGGGTAAATGCCTGGCAAACCGCGCTTGCCGGAGAAGCGCCACATGCAGTGAACACTCAGTATTTGCGCAGCTGGCCTCACACATGTTGAACAACTGCCGCTGCTCCAGCTGATGCTGAGGTTGTGGTGCTTGACTTCCAGAGTCCGTTCATGAGTTCTTTAGCATGCTTTTATATGTTGGAACTTTCTCCTGCTTAGCCAAAAATGCATAGAAGACACGGCTACCCAGGCGCGTAAGTGTGACGGCAAAACAAGCACGCCATGCAATTGAGTGTTTGGCACTGCAGGCTTACCGATGTGCTTGCCTTTCGCACCACTGCAAAATATGTAGACTTTCCTTGGAAAATCACCGTGACAAATCAAATGTGTGTCCCAAGTCGGACTGGGAACAATAATCTAACATGTTCCCTTGCACTTGACCTTCTGCTGTGCTGGGCATGGTCATGCTTTGCTTCCGCTGATCTGGTCCCCCAAAATCAGTTCTGCTTCACAGCTGCCTAGAGGATAAAGCCAAGAACAAGCCAAGAAATCTGCTTTGTGCATGCAGACTAAGACTAAAACAGTGCACCGAATGGTTTGCACGTGCACTCTCATGCTGATGCACTTCCCAACCTTCTCAGCCATCGACGTGAATGAATCTGGAAAGGTTCACGCACCAGGTAATGTCCGAAATCTATTCACATCCCAACACAAATGCCGAAAAGCGGCCAGAAGCACACGGCGACGCTGGATGTGTTTAGGAGGATTGGCCGCTTTGGGGGAGCAGCGCGGCATCTTGTATGAACATCTTTGACTCCGTGGTGAAGGGGTCGTAACCGCCACATGCACCCGAAACCCAGCATCTTGTTGTCTCTGCCCATGTTGACTGGCAACCAATAGCCAACCTCTAGCGGTTCCTGCCCAAAACGAACGTACTTTACGGCTTTACAGAAACCATCCAAAACCCGGTGCCAAAAAAACAAAATCGCGCCAAAGCGAAGTCACCAACACAAAATGTCACAACACGCAAATCATGCGGAACACTTGCAAAAGCACACAAGGTTTGCATAAACACATATTGCGCCAAGGCACACAAAGCATGCTCAATCACAAGCAAAATTTAACACACAGAAACGCCCATCGGTCACGCGAGTTGAAAAGAATAAACGAAGAAGTCAAGGGCATCGCTCCAGGTGTTGGTCGCCGCTTTGTATTCAAACTCTGTCTGCTGCACATACGGGGAACGACTGCCGTGCACGTGAAGCTCTAGCAGCGAGTGGCTTAGGCCGCAAGATTCCCAGAATTCAGGGAGCGGCCAAGGGATGACATGAATTTGGACCTAGATCCAGGATGAGCAGGGATTGACGAAAGGTTTGAAAGGTCATTCAAGCCATATGTGCTTAGTCGTACTTACGTTGCACCAGAGGTCTGTTTTCGAACACTGCGGCATGCGTAGGGATGGGATCTGGGCGATCGTCGCCCTCGTCTGGCACAGTTGGCCATCTGCAACTTATATAACAAGGCCTGCTCTCTGCCGGCGTGAGGGCTTTTTCGCATCTTCATAAACGAACAACCGCACAAGCCCCAAGACTCAGCCTGAGAATACCTTTGGTTTGGAAATGCTGGGATCAGCGTTCAAGCCCAGAATTTGTCGGGTTGGCGTTTTGAGGCTTGGGGAAAATTAGGGCTGGGATTGGGGTCGATGGATTGAAAGCCCCTAGACTCCGAGAACATGGAACATTGAAAGCTTAACTTGCTTGAGGCGTTGATCGTGTTCTGTTGAGGCCAGCCCTGCAGACAGTTCCAGGCTCTCTCTGCAATTGCCTGCACACGCAGAGGCAGTCTGCAAGCATTCGGATAAGCAACCTGAACGCATGAATGGGCTGCACTGCAAACAGAGGGCCCTAGGCTTATCAACTGTGGCTACTGTGAGTCCTCTGGAAGGGTTGCAGAGCATGAAAGATTCCTTGACAGGACCTACGGCAGTACTTGCAGCAGAGCTTCATTTCAAGCAGAACTACGGGCTTTGGCTCAACCTACAAGGTGACCCCCTGTTGACCCTGAGAAGAAATACGTACAAGATCGTAGAAGCAAATGGGCAGACTGGTAGCTTGCGTGGGAAATCAGGTCTTCAACTTGAATTCTTGGCACACATCTGGCGGAGCGACAGGTCAAAGACTTGGTCCTGCCATGTTCCCAAAATGCTGCAGAGAGGTGCCCTTGAGGTGCCCTTGAGGATCCCTTGAGGTGCTCTCCCAGATCTCTCAAATCTCGGAACTCCAAACATCTTCCCAAATGCTACAACACGCAAAACCCCTCAAACCTCCCCCCCTGATGGAAACGAAGCCCTGCAAACGACACTCCCTAAACCCTCTCGGATTTCCAGACCTTGTCTGCCCGACAGCTAAAGAGCAAGACACACCTCAAGCCTAGCACCGTAGCTTTCGTGATGACTTAGAAGTGTCAGCCGGGTGGCAACGGCCAGAGCGTGATCGCGAGCTGCATGATGTCCGCATGCCACTCTTCATCTGGCATGGGCCAGGACATCGCGCAAGAGCCACTTAAATGCAAGCCCTGTCCGACCAGTCCTCAACGACGTGCTTCACGGCCTCCGGGCTCAAACACTGCTCGGGCTTCGTTCGTCGGCACCTCGGTGGTACTTACTTGCAACCAGAGCTCAAAACTGCTGGGGCAAATCCAAGGACTGAACAAGTGACGAATGGGCGAATCCATCGCGGACTCCTGGGAAGCCTCTCGAGCCCAAGCTCTACGGGGCAAGATTGAGGAGAGGGACCCAGCCTCCAGCAAACACTAGGTTGTTATTATTAGCACTGCGTGCAATGCATAACGTTTGGGAAACAATCAAGGTTAAGTATGAGCGCCAGTCGGGACAAGCTTTGCCCGATGGCGTCCTCGTTGCAACTTTAGGAGCTGTGCAACAACACCTTCGTTTGAATGCCCGAACTTTGCAAACTTATGCTCAGGTTCGTGAGGTGATCTTGGAATACCATCGCTCGCAACTTTTGATGCTACTACAACATGCCCAAAGCTATGTAAACCTAACACTCCAAACCCGCGTTTCCTCAAGGAAAGGGCCCGAAACACCTTCATATACTATGCCCAAAACACTCCTCAGAAAAAAAAAAAAAAAAAAAAAAAAAAAAAAAAAAAAAAAAACTATCTGCACCGAAAGGCCAAAAAACCCGCGTTTCCTCAAGGAAAAGGCCCAAAACACCTTCATATACTATGCCCAAAACACTCCTCAGAAAATTTCTATCTGCACCGCTGGAAAAAATTCTATCTATCTGCACCGTTTTTTCGAGAAAAAACTCAAAGAAACTTCAAAAACTCAAAAAAAAAGTTTCTATCTGCACCGCGCAAAAAGTCATCACCATCATCATCATCAGAGTCACCATCACAAATCATCATCGTCATCGTCGGCACAGGCAATAACATGGAGAGTCACCAGCCATCAGAGATCATCATCATCGTCATCATCATCATAGTCATCCTCATCGTCATCGTCTCGCAGGTAATAACACATCTAGAGTAAACGGCAACAGAAAACGGATGCGGCCGCCGTCCAAATCGGAAAAATCTGAAGATAGTCCATGCCTCCATGACATCAGGCCGCAGGAGGCATGAACGTCATCAACCCCTCCTCCCGCCCCCCCCCCCCCTATTCCCCCTACCTCTGCACTGAAGCAAAAAAATTACATTCTCTAGACTCTAGACTGCCATGGACGTCACCACCCCCTCGCCCCAACAACGACGTGTACATGTGCATGTGCAGCATGCTTCACCGAGAACAGACAAAAGAACAGAACAGGCACGAAACACTGTAAATGCCGAGACAAACACACCCGAATTCCAAGCAAAGACAAGGCACGAAACAGTGTAAAGACTGGCACGAAACACTATAAATGCCGAGACAAAACCCCCTGCGGAGAAATTGTTGCTGCTGTTGTTGTTGTTGTTGTTGGCAGCGGGCCCGTTTGCCGCCGCGGAGGGTGTATCGATTTCAGGCCTGCGAGGTGTCACAACTCGAGTTTTGGCACCTTGCCACAATTGTCACCACAACAACAACAACAACAACAACAACAACAACAACAACAACAACAACAACAACAACAACAACAACAACAACAACAACAACAACAACAACAACAAAAAAACAACAACAACAACAACAACAACAACAACAACAACAACAACAACAACAACAACAACAACAACAACAACAACAACAACAACAACAACAACAGCAACAGCAACAGCAACAGCAACAGCAACAGCAACAGCAACAGCAACAGCAACAGCACGAGCAAGAGCAACAGCAACAGCAACAGCAACAGCAACAGCAACAGCAACAGCAACAGCAACACCAACAGCAACAGCAACAGCAACAGCAACACCAACAAAACCAGGACCACGACCCAAGTGTCCAGCTTTCAGAGAGTTGCCACATACCACACACGCATGCAGCCGCAAAAGGCCTTACCCACCAGTAGGTGTAGGCTGTGAAAGCATGGAGCATTTGGTCTGTCCATGTGGGGCCAGGCCTTCACCACGGAATCCATGAAAATCCGGCCATCTACGACCCAAACAGAACTGTCCTCCTGGCCGTGCTAATTCTAAACAAATGAACCGCTGAAAGGTAGCGTTCACGCTAACGTGGAGCCTGAGCGATGACGGTGGCTGACTGCGGCCCCCCGTTAAACAGGGCTATCTCCTGCACACGAAAGCTTAAGCGGCATGCCCCTAAACACAGGGCGCTTGGGCGGCCAAGCAGCTCCAAAGCTGCCACCAGAGGTCACTGTTCGCACTAACTTCCGGCCCCTGCACAGACAAAACGCCTCTGGCTTTTGGTGTTTGTAGCTTAACATGCGGCGGCACCCTTGACCCTTTCTGGTGTCCGCAACGTAGATCTCAAACGACCCCGACTGGCAGATCTTAGCAAGCAGCTCAAAGGTTTTTGTGAATGCACTAATGAGCCTCATGCCGTCTCCGAAGACCTCCTGAACAAACTGAGGAAATAGCGTAAAAATGGTCCACAATCAGATCACCTGAGGCAAGTCACAGGACAGCATGCATGCCCCCCGGAATGTGCTTGCACGTTTACAAACGCGCCTTCGGAGATGATTTCCTTGCCAGTAGGGATGCTCCTCAGCTACAGGGCTCATGGAACAATGACCCATGTGCAAAGTCATGATCATCACTAAGCTACAGGCTCTTTCCAGGCGACGTCAATGATCTGCTCAAGACCGATCCTGGAAAGATGTCTGAGCAGGTCCGCATTCTGCCAACTCAACACGTACTGAGACCAGAACTGGTTGAATTTCAGCTGTGCCTGTGTACTCAGTGTACTCTTCAACCTTTGAGAAGCCGGCTCGAATACAAACAAGGCAACTTCCACAAGCAGCTGATCTGAGGTCAGAGCGCTCTCATTATGAGCTGCCGCTCACCTGCATTTTTCCGTGGCGACTTCACCTTTGATGCGGTTTTCCGATTCAAGCTTGTGTCGATTTAACTTCTGCTCTTACGATAGGTCTGTGAGGGTCCTGCAACAAGCTCGTGAGCGCCGACCGTTTCTTTGACCAATTTGGTCTTGTTCAGACCCAGCTCCTGGCCAGACCGCACGCGCACACACACACACACACACACACACACCAGCACGCCCTACCCGCTACAACAACATGCAAACCCCACATGCCCTCACCACACTCCACAATCCGTCTGCTTCGTTTCGTCTGCTTTGTGTTGTTCTGATCCGCTTGCTCTCAAACCCGTTTCTTCGGTTCTGTTCTGCCTGTTCAGTTGCATTCATCGGGGAGTCGGGCAAGTGACGACACCAATACGTCGATGAACATGCAAAGGAAAGAAATTTAAATGCTGCGGTTTTTGGCGACACTGAGCGTGTTGTGGCAAAACGCTCTCCCACATGAGGTCCTCCTAGTCTGCCAAAGACTCCAGGCACATTACTTCATGCTGTTTCAATGGACGGGTAGCATTGCAAGTGGAACATGCTCGACTGGTATGTCCGCTATGTCAAGTTCCTGCGCTGCATCCACTCACGAGATCCCCGGACCTCTTTCACAACTTGCGTTGGCTTCTGCGCCTCCTTCTTGCCTGCAGACGCACAGTGAGGCTAGAGGGCACAAGTGGCACCGGAGCGGAGCAAGCTGACCGATATCATGAAGTCTAAACTCAATCTGCTGCACCGCAAACCACAGGCTTAGACTTAGGCGTCAGGGCCTGGAGCTGCCGGCATCTGACCGAACCCCACTGTGTAAGGCTGCAAGGAAGCTGCAGATTGGCCTCTGAAGCACTACAAATCGATACCTTTAAACACCCTGAAAGTTTTAGGGCTCTTGAGCTGGAAACGGCGGCCTTGACATTCCTCACCGCCCGAAACCGCCGCAGCTCGGCAGCACTCATCGCCCAATCTCGTCGAGCCTTGCTGGAGCCGTTGGGGCTCTGGGGCATTAGTGGTTGTGGATGTTTGTGGGCTTCACGGCTTCGGGGGCTTTAGGTTACAGGCTTTGAAAGAGGGCTCAGGGTGTAAATCGTTGGGCTTCGAAGCAGGAGCCTCCGCGATTGGAGCCATATAGCCGACACCGCTGGGTGTACTGAGGGAATTCATGGACCATTCTCATCAACACACGATCTCGAAGATGTGCCGAGCAATCGGTGCATGTGCAAGCTTAGCCTCTGCTCTAAACCCACAAACCCCCAAACCCCAAAACCAACTCACAAACACCCTTCATGAACCCATGTCGGAGCTGTGGGCCGGACTAGGTTCGGGGTCACGGCACGTGCCCAGCTTCGGTGGACTGCCAGGACCAGTGTAGGGTGTAGGGCAGTGTAGGGGGTGTAGGGAAATAGCTTCAAGTCTCGGGTTTGGGGGATTCCCCTAAGATCGGGTTGAAGGAGTCACACTGTAGGCAGCTGCAATGCATCCCTTCAGGGCTTAGGGTCATCCATCCCTGCCTGGTATCGATGGCATCTGCACTTGCTCCTGCGAGGGCACTTTGAGATATCGGAATGATCCAACAATTTTGAGATATCGGAATGATCCAACAACTGGATATAAGGACAAACATATTCTCCTCCTACATATTCGATTGTTCTTGATTTGCTGTTCTTTAAGCTTGTGTGTCAAACATCGGTGTCAAGTCGTCGATGTCTATGCGCCGGAGTCTGCAAGTTGAGTTGTTGGCACTGCTCATTTGAATAATCATACACGATCCGAGATGTCGTGCGCGATCCTGAGCCATAGCTCGAAGAAACTGCAACTGGCACACCGCTAAACCATGAAGCCCCGTACTTCGGGTTGAGGGTTTATGGCCCGAATTACGGCTTAGGCCCGAGGCATCGGTAGTTTCGTAGGCTTCGGGACTGACCCGAGCAGGAACGTCAATTCCGAGCCCCTCATGCTTCGCAGCACTCGCCATTCTGCATAGCATCTGCCTGCAATGCCATAATATTCGGCTATCTTGACAACTTGAACTGAGCCTCTTATCGGCTCCCCGTTGCATCACGCCCCATGTTCGCTACACTTGGATCCCTGGCCTTCAGGTTGTATTGGCTTTGCCTCCTTCTTCAGCTTATTGAGCTCTTCCCTAACATGCGAATTGCAAAATGCAGAACAACCAATGGCATAAGGGGGACACAGGCTTTGCGGCCGTTCTCTGAGGCAGGGGCTCAAGCTCACTAATACGCGCATCCTTGTGGCCATAACGAGAAGAGCATGTTTAGACACTTCGGGTTCCCGCCCTTTCTGTATAGAAATTCGCCTCGGCCTCCGGCCGAGAAGCGTTTGGAACAAGCAGACCAAGAACCGATTCTGCGCCCCCCTCCCACACACCCCCCCTGGCACCCCCCTTGTCATGCCAGGACCTGGGCACTCGTCCGAAGAATCCTTGATTGGATCGTGAGCTCTGCTGTAGCAACATGTGAAGGCGGCGTGCCTGGCTCGAGCCTGTCCGGCTGCCAAGCTGGCGCGCGTAAGCGTTTGCAATTAGAAGTCCTACTTTCCGATGCACAAGCGCTTCACCAACCGAGGTCATCTGCTGACGACACTCGTCACTCGTCACAAGCTGCTTGAAACCTCGCTGGGCTCTGCGCGCGTTCGGTCAGGAGCTTTTTGAATCGCTCGGCGTCCTCATTCGAATTCTCCCCGTCTAGGGGGTTTTGGGGAGGGCGCTGGGGCGGCCACATCGGCGTCAACAAGGGACCATTCCGAGTTACGTGTCTCCCAGGAGTGACGGAAGCCGATGGAAAAGAAGGCTGTGTAGTTAGCATTTTGTTGCTCTCAGCTTGCTGAAAGCCCTGCCTCGCTTCGTTGGTGACTGACAACGTCAAATTGGACTAAGGCAGTTGCTACCACCCGGATTATCCCTCCTCAATGCACAATTAAGAAAGCATGCATCTGGCACGTCGGTGAAAGCTCAGGCGACCATGAGCAAATAACAGGCTGACTCCTTCTTCTTTCTTGACCTGTCGTTCAATCTCACTGGCAGGTTAGCAGCCAAAACAGGGACGGCACCCCATTGTGCTTGCATGCCCACAACAAGCAGTTCATGACCAAATCGCGGAGCGCTAAGCGGATGGTGCGCTTGGTGCGGACTTACTCTACCCGCACTCTCACATATGAAAGCTGTCCAATGGGCTGCATTGAAGGCGGCCTCTTCCTCGCTGCAGCCAAGCTCTGCTTCAAATGCTGGGCCTGCTGTCTGAGTTGTGACAAAAATCAACAAATCAAAAGCCCGGATTCAGTCACTCCTGACACTGAGCCTCTTGCTCTTCTTCTTGTTGGGCTTGTGTACGGCGCAGGCCAATGAATCATGTCAGGTACCCGGAAAACTTGGCCACGTGAGTCCGACATGTTCATGCTGCAGGATCACCCGCCAATTAGACTCCAACTTCGCATTGGCCCTGCTACATCAGAATGACAATGTCTCGCCTGGATGAACAAACTCACGCCGCTGAGGCAATGGAGCCCACTGATCTGTCTGGCACCTGCAGAGAGTGATAGCGTACTGACGACACCACGAAACGAGAGCTTGCAACAACATGTTGCCTTTTGCCGAAGGGGTTGCTGACCTCGGTTGCGACTTCCCAAACCCTTTTGGCGGTGTATCTTTCTTTATACCCCGGCCCAAACCTGGAAAACACAAAACGTGCGCGAAACAAGTCTGCTCTGCAACACTGCACTGAGTCATCCGCCAGCCAGCCACAACAGCAGTCCATGGTCTATTCCTAATCTTTTTGCACGCTAGCGCTTCGAGAGCCGCGTTGCTTCCGAACATGTTCGTGCGGTGTCTGCACGCGCTCATGACGTGGATGGAGTTCCATTTTTAGTTTTCGCAGCTTCAAACTCAGGTCACTCCGACTGCGACATGTAGCTGCAGGCTACGCCATCATCACCATCAGTTGTCGACGGCTGTGTAGGAGAAGGCGATTCCTTGAAGACGATCGTGTTGAGGCAAGATATGGACCATGAGGACATGGCCAGGCCTTCCTTTTCGTCTTTGCAGCTTCCATGGAGGCATAGATGGCCTCCGGACCACTCAGGGTGTCTAGTCGTCACTGCACATCTGTTGCACCTCAATGCTGCTGTTTAAGATCAGCTTTGTTTCTTGTGGCCGTCCACGCTGTTCCTGACATGCGCCCGAGCAAACGTACACCAAACGTACAATGAACATCACCTGGACCATGCACAGTAGCTCTGCCGCGTGCCTCGGCCGCGAGCACCTGACACAGTGGGGCTTGCGGAAAACCAATTCTGCCGCGACCGGTCGTGCCTTCTTCTCAGGCTGCTCGGATTGGCGATGCGTTTTTGGCATCTCTGCACATTGCTGCTCTGGATCAATCGGAGATGTGACCTACCATGCTGGGGGGCACATAATATTAATTCACAATTTTGTATGGGCCCAGAGAGCCAGAGAGTGGGCGCACTGTCCTTCCCTGTTTACAAATGATAAGTAATGAAGAACCAACTGACGTCAACGAAGATTCCAGTAACTCTACAAGAAACGCTAAACACGGATGTCGCGAAGCTTGTGCTGCACAAATCGCGAGGTGTCAATGCATGCTGCAGGCGAGATTGTCTGCCGGCCTTCAGCCGCAGGCGCATCAACGGTCCACTCAATTTCAACAGCTCTTGGTCCTGCCGCAAGGCGAAAAAAAAACCAAAGAAACATGAAAACGAGTAGCATATATGCTAGTTTGCCTTGGGTCGAAAAAACCATAGACACAGGCCTTTGCCAGGCGCGAGTTGATCGCATCCAGCCTCGCAAATAATCCATGTTGCACCCAAAGTGCTGAAACTCGCTGACTGAAGTGGTGAGGCACTGACATCGACCTTCCGTTCCTTTCCGTGGCATGCATCACCAACAATGTGGCCGACTGCATGCTCGCAGAACCAATCCTTGGTGGGCCGGGCATCGCCCTGAACTTTCAGCCTGCCCGGCTTTTAGTTTGCCCAGTGCTGCCAATGAGTACCTTGTGCCTATCGCTTGTGCGTTTTTTATCCACTTGCCCCGGCGCGGCCCTCAGAAGTAGGAGATTGGCCGAAAGTGTGGTCTCAAGGTCTATGGTGTGGAAGGCTTCTCGGCCATCTCATCTTAATTTCTATAATTTCTCCAAACCCAAGCAAACTCTGGGTGCCAGTCTCAGCTATACCGAAGCCACTGCACGCCACTTTCAACTGCTGCGGCTACTGCAGAGCCACGCAACACCCACTTCAACTTCTAAGCTCTGTGCCGCGCGTGCACCAAATTCTCGGGCGAAAGCGTCACCTTTTATGGCAATGCTCACTGCGCCTTGCCCTTCATTGGTCTGTGCTCCTTGCGCTTAGGGCTCCAGCACGAACCGCTTCGAGTGGCATTCGCACCTCACAAGTTGGAGCAGCGCTGCAAGCAAACAGTAGCCTCCCCGACCAGGCCTGCTGTGCCAGAGCTTGGCGAATAGCCTTGATCACACGGCTGTGTATCCGCAACGAGGAAGTCGCATCGTTGTAGCTCATCCTGCGCACCCCAAATTCTGCGAACGGGAAGAGACGCATGTTGTCAGGCCTGATTGGCATCTCTGGCCTGTACGTTGCGCATGCGACAGCAAGTTTCATGCACTCACACACATCATGAGCCGCAGGGGTGTGCTCTTCAAATATCCATCTGAGGTTCTCGCATGAAATCGAAAACAGTCATGGGCACCTTCAGACACGGTCACCAATGTCCATCCTACACTCATGCCCCGGAAAGCGTTCAGTTGAAAGGTTCCCAGATTTTGCATCGTATGTTAAACGTAGATTGCAGTCTGGAAGGTATTCCAGGCGTGTAAATGTGAAGAAGAGCAGAGCAACCCGCATAGAGTAAAAACCTCTTTTCGCTTTTCACACGATCTTTGAGGGTTGCGGTCGGTGTGTACAATGGGCAGGGGCGATGTCTTGCGTATGGCACTCCCGTCGCGGCAGCTTCAATGCGAGCCATGATGTTGGTGTCTGCACGATGCTCACATCACGCAGGAGCTGGCAGGATCGAAAGGTGACAAAAACTTGAGAGCAGGGCGGACGAAAGCTAGGTCCCCGCAGATGGGCTGTCTGTGTGCGTGTCTTGACGACCCTAGGGTTCGAGTGTCCGGTTTCCAAAGTAAATCTTCTCGCACATCTGTCCCTACGGACTGGCACGAACAGCAAAAATCATCACAGCTTTTCTCTGCAATTGCGTGGCAAATTCTTCTTGCACATGTGACGCTACGGCGTGGCACGCTCAACAAGAAATATTTTTGTACACATGCGACGCTGCGGCCTGGCAGGCACAACAAAAACACAACCGCACGCTGATAGAGTAGGAACTGCAAGCTCAGAAATGGGAGCCGGCATCGTATGTCAATGTCAGGAAAAGTTGAAGAAACCTAGGGCCCTAGGGGGGGGCCTCAAGGTAGGGTACGGCAGGCCCCCCCCCCCAATCGAGAAAACACCCCCCTCCACCAACCTGAAAACGCCCCACCGCACGCAAGGCAAGGCCATAGGCATCTCCTTGTGACTGCCCGCCGCAAAGGTCGGGGCACCCCGTGACACCTTAAATTTAAGCCTTAAATCCATGAGATATCAGGGATGAAAGCCCTCCAAACTCCCGCAAGCTCCGAAGGAGTTAGCTTTCGTGACAGAAACGCAGGTTCGGCCCATGCTCGGGCATGGGGTCAGTTTGCGATCTCTGGCCGTTCGCACCTCATGTGATCGCAGTGCTTGCCCTTTCGGATTGTCGGAGTCACCGGCGCAGGTCGTCCAGTCCTCCTTCCAGGAGCATGCTGCACCGCAGGACAGAACGAAGTCTCTGGGCACGCTCATGTCGCTGGCCGACAGCTTACAGTCAACCGCCTTGCACTCGGGCGGCACGCACGCCTGATGATGAGCGCCACAACTTCGGGCTTCTGAGCAACTGGACATGTCAACATAGTCATGGTCAGAACGTGATCAGAATCGGTTCCGGCCTCATCCAGGATTCTCGCAAAAGCCGCACCAAACGGGCAAAGGTCCTGACGACAATTGCAAAATCAACCGGAAGTCCAACGCAGCAAGTATAGTCCGTGCCTCGGATTTGTTTGCACATGCCCAGCACCGCAGCCAATGAACGCACTCCATGTGAGCGGCAAGTATGTGACGAGGATTTTTCACTGTAATCATTTGCCAAGCGACTGCAGATTAGGCATCGTCCAGTCACTCTAGTCGGCTCTTGAAGCTTTTGACACAGACCAGCGAGAGCCGTATGCTTCCGAACATATGGAACATGTTCGTGCGGTGTCTGCATGCGCTCATGACGTGGATGGCGGATGGAGTTCCATTTTTCTGTTTTCGTAGCTTCAAACTCAGGTCACTCCGACTGCGACAGAAAGCTGCAGGCTACGCCATCATCAGCATCAGTTGTCGACGGCTGTGTAGGAGAAGGCGATTCCTTGAAGACGATCGTGTTGAGGCAAGATATGGACCATGAGGACATGGCCGGGCCTTCCTTTTCGTCTTTGCAGCTTCCATGGCGGCATAGATGTCCTCCGGACCACTCAGGGTGTCTAGTCGTCACTGCACATCTGTTGCACCTCAATGCTGCTGTTTAAGATCAGCGTGGATGGCAGGTTTCGGATTTGGGCGCTCTTGACGTAACAAGCACCGCAGATCTTTCAAGAGATCCCGTTATCAAGCACTCTGTCACTGGAAACAAGATTTCACAAAGCGAGGGTCTGGTTACAGCCCCTGACAGGAACACCCTAAACGTCAACCCGAGTCACTGAAACGAGACCTGAATGGCATACTGCAAGTCTGCAGTGGTCCTTGTGGCTGCGGACACGGCTTCCCGAACCGTGCCGTTTGTCCTTTGGCGTTGCGCTCAACACGCTTTCCACTCATGGTGCTGAGTCTCTGAACTTCAACACAATGCTCAACAAGCAGAGCCATAGTGGCAATGAAGCAGTGTTGGCAAAACTGTTTTGGGAGCATATTGGAATCCAGTCCTCGCTGAGGAAATCCCGATAACTCGCCTGAAACTCACTGGCAGAAGACAGTTCGGCTGATCACGCTCCGCTCTGCCACTTATTAACAACAGCCATCATTCCGAGCTGCCTGCCTTGTTGTCCACGGTCACACCGGACACAGATGCATCCTTGCAGAAAATTTAGTCCTATGCTCCCGGTTGCTCCCGTAGGTATCCAGCAAGGACTACTACGGTGTAGTAAACGCACGACAACCAAAAGACGATGGAGCAAGACGACGACGGAACACCGCCGAGATATCGCGCCATACAGACGACGAGCGCACCCACAAAAATGGACAGCTCTGGTGATGAGACTCGAAGTTTGGAGGGGCATGCAGTCGACGTTGAAACAGCAGTAACAGACCAAACAAGGCCATCTTACTTCCGGATGCAGGAGTGTCAAGAATTGCACAGGAAAGCATTACTACTGACTACTTCGTCGCGCCAGTCTGCTGTCCGAGCAGCAGTGAAGCGTGCCAGGTCTGGAAGACGCGACGGAGCGCCTCAGGAGCACCCTCGGCCTAGGTCGGCATTTCGAACTTCTTGCCATGCGCATGCCAAAGACTTTCCTTCAACAACCGTCCTCGAAGCAGCTGGTGAACTGTAAGCACGAGCCCACTTCTAAGCTCCGAGCAAGTTGGGAAGTTCAGCTAGAAGCGGTACGCCAAAGGCACGGCGTGGGCATGCCAGGCGCTGGTCCTCTGGCCTGCTGCCACTATCTGCAGTGCATTCTGCTGCATTCTTGCTTCGGCAATCGAACGTATTGGACGGTGTCCGGTGTTGGAATTCTATACTCTTGGTACAAAGGCTGACAGAAATCTCGGACAGTAAGGGTGGAGGCATCATGCATGTAAACTCGGCTTGCTCACTTGATTCACATGTCACAAGGAGGTTGAGGGAGTGCAAAGGCTGAGTATCGAAGCTCTGCTCTTACATGGCGGTTCGTTCGCAACTACGAACCTGACACGGTATTTGCACGTAGGAACAAATAATATACTTGCATTCCGTTTGGCACTTGTCGCAGGAGTGGTGCTGCAGAAGCCCTGGTATGCATTGAACCAGCATGAAAACGGATGATTAAACAGGTGGGCGAAGCCATAGTCTTGCTACGAATAGTAGCAGTAATTCAGAGGCCCTCAGAACGACAGAGACAATCGTAATCATGGGAAGCACAGGCATCATGCAAGCAAGGATCACACAGTAAGAGCAAGACTGCAAATCACACCAAAAGTGCAAGTAGCAAAGACGAGCAAAGTCGGCACTCGAAGTTTCCACCCGAGATCTTTGCCGTCCTCTGCACGACACAAGACCCGTAAGATGCTTCTGCTGTCCACCAACAATCTGTTTTTGAGTCCATGAATCTCAAATTGTAAGCCAGGAACCGCATAATGATTTATTCCCGCAAAGGAGCCTCCTACAAAGGATCCGACACCTTCTAGGCTTTCAGAGCTGCCCGGTCTCAAGGCTCAAGAGCTTCCAGATGTTCGCATGGTGGGCGAGAAGCTGTGAGTCTGACAGGCCTGCTGGCAGCTGGTGTGATGAAGCTCTGGGCACGGGAAGGGACACGTGGATGTTCCTCCGTGCCCTCGCGTTTGCAAGCCCTCCGCGCCCTCCGCGCCCTCCGCCCTCCGCGACCTCCGCGCCCTCCGCGCCCTCCGCGCCCTCCGCGCGCTCCGCGCTCTCCGCGCTCCGCGCCCTCCGCGCCTCCGCGCCCTCCGCGCCATCGCGGACCTCCGCGCCCTGCCGCTCCGCGCTCTTCCGCACCCTCCGCGGGGCCCTCCCGCGCCCTCCCGCGCCCTTCCCGCCTTACGCACACCCTCCGCGACCTCCGCGCCCGCCGTGCCCTCCGCCGTCTCCGCGCCCTCCGCGACCTCCGCGCCCTCAGCGCCCTCCGCGGCCCTCCGCGCGATCGCGGCTCCGCCCCTTCCCGCACTCGCGCCCTCCGCGCCCTCCGCACCCTCCGCGCCTCCGCGCCCTCCGCGCCCTCCGACCTCCGCGCCCTCCGCACCCTCCGCGCCCTCCGCGCCCTCCGTGCGCTCGCGCCCTCCGCGCCCTCCGCGCTCTCCGCGCCCTCCTCCGCGCCCTCCGTGCGCTCTGTGCCTTCCGCGCCCTCCGCGCCTTTCTCGTCCAGGACACAGTGTGCTGATGCTAAGGGTGCATTGCGTCTATTCTGCGGGTGCGTTGCGTCTATTCTGCGGGTGTTTCCTTTGTAAAGTATTTGTTTACAAGGCACGCACGCGCAGCATAGCCTTTAAGTGTCCATCTTACAGGGGGGGGTGGGGGGGGGGGGGGGTGGGGGGGTGGGGGGGTTGGGGGGGGGGGGGTGGGGGGGGGGGGTGGGGGGGGGGTGGGGGGGGGGTGGTGGGGTGGGGGGGGGGGGTGGGGGGGGTGGGGGGGGTGGGGGGGGGGTGGTGGGGGGGGGGGGGGGGGTGGGGGGGTTGGGGGGGCCTTTTTGGGACCTGTGCGGCCGGCAAGGTATAAGGTTTTTAGAGTGTGTGTGACTCAAGCACTCGAACGTGTCCTCGAAAACACACTTTTTCAGTGTAAAAAAGTGCGTTTCCTATATGTTTTTTTTTTGGTAAGGTCAGCGAAGAAAGCAAGCGAACTCATTTTCGAAAATGCACTTTTTTCATGTGGAAAAGTGCGGTTTCAGGTATGATGTTAAAGTTTGTGTGTGCGTGTGTGTGGCCGAAGCACTCCAACGTGTCCTCGAAAACGCACTTTTTTTGTGTAGAAAAGTGCGTTTCCCGTTTCCGATGTGTTTTTTTGTCAGGTCAGCGAGGAAAGCAAACAAATCCATCCATCCGACTCATCTTCCATCTGTGTCTCCACTCACACACAATGGCCGGCAAAGAAAAGCTTGGGAAGAGGAAGGGGGGTGTGGGTTGGGAGAAATAGATTGGGGCGGGGTGGGGGTGGGGGTGGGGGGGGGGTGGGGTGGGGGGGGGGGGGGGGGGTTGCGGGGGGGTTGGGGGGGTGGGGGGTGGGGGCGGGGGGTGGTGCCTTGGACGCTTAACGTCTATTCTGCGCGTGCTCTTTGTTTTCTTGGATTCTTCCCGATGGGTTCTCGTTTGAGGAGTTTTGACGTGAGGCCGCGGGGACGACACGGTCAAGGGAGAGGGTTCGGAACATTTTGCTGGGAGAGGGGCGTGGCGGGGAGCGTGACATTCCCTTGATGGGCAGGGGAGTGGGGACACGTGGATGTTCCTCCGTGCCCTCCGCGTTTGCAAGCCCTCCGCGCCCTCCGCGCCTCCGCGCCCTCCGCCTCCGCGCGCTCCGCGCTCTCCGCACCCTCCGCGCCCTCCGCGCCCTCCGCGCCCCGCCCTCCGCACCCTCCGCGACCTCTGCGCCCTCCGCGCGGTCCGCGCCCTCCGCGCCCACCTCCGCGCCCTCCGCGCCCTCCGCGCGCTCCGCGCTCTCCGCACCCTCCGCGACCTCCGCCCCTTCCGCGCCCTTCCCGCCCTCCGCACCCTTCCCGCCCTCCGCGCGCTCCCCGCCCTCCGCGCCCTCCGCGCCCTCCGCGCCTTCCGCGCCCTCCGCGCCCTCCGTGCGCTCTGTGCCTTCCGCGCCCTCCGCGCCTTTCTCGTCCAGGACACAGTGTGCTGATGCTAAGGGTGCATTGCGTCTATTCTGCGGGTGCGTTGCGTCCATTCTGCGGGTGTTTCCTTTGTAAAGTACTGGATAAGACGATTAGATTAGGCAGGTTATAACCCTGGTTATAAGTCGGGCAACCCATGTTATAACCCCGATAACTTGACCCAAAGTTCACCCCTAACTTCTCTACTACTTATATCCTTAGTTACTGGGGTTTGGGGTGAGTTATGTAAGTGTGCCAGGGGAGTTATAAGCTAGTTAGGGTTTAGTTATAGTCAAGTTAGGGTCTAGTTGCGGGTTCGCGTTGTTGTTGCTTCTGCAGAAGCCATTGTTGGCCGAGAGCGGGTCATTTTTTGGTGGCAGCTTTACTGTCCATGCGTGCGCTGAGTGTGGGTTTAGCGAGGATGGCTGGCGTTGTCGTTTGAGGTCAGCGCAGGAAGTGTTCTGAAAGAGACACGTCAGTCGCACGTCTTGCTGCCATTTGCTGTCGTTTGTGTTCAAGCCGAAGTGTCATTTGGGGTCATGAACGCAATACGGAGATCGCACCACGAAAGGGTGGAGCGACGGCCTTGCAGCTGATATCATTTGCGAGGTATTGCATTTTCATTTCACACCATGCCCACCCTTTCGTGGTGCGATGTCCGTATTGCGTTCATGACCCCAACTGACACTTCTTCGGCTTGAACACAAACGACAGCAAATGGCGGCAAGACGTGCGTTTGTTTTCAGCTTTGGGGCCCTGTCGGCCCGGTGTCGGCCTGTGTCGGCCCGCTTCGGGGACTACGCTGGCTGGCCCTGGGTCCGCGTGTCGGCCCGTGTCGGCCCAACGGTTTTCCATGGTCATTTCTAAGGATTTTAACGGTTTCCCTTTGTCGGCCCGTGTCGGCCCATCGGCGCGCATGATTAGGTGTTTGGGCTCCTGTCGGCCCGGTGTCGGCCTGCTCTGCCAGCCAGATCCCAAAAAACCATGTTTCCTTCCGAAAAAACATGTTGACTGTCGATGCTCCTTCTGAGTCTTGGTGACGACTGAATGAATTTCCTGGTTTGCTCGAAGCAGCTGGCTCAGTCCTTCTTGTCTTCTGCCTCGACTCCTTGAAGCCATGATGGCCGAGGTGCACCAGTATGAGGCTGAAGACCCCTTGCCGGCCCAAGAAGATGCGGAAGCTTCTCCGGGTGAGGCGTTGGTGCCAGCACCGAAGAAGGAAAAGCTTTGCCAGCTTTTCCGCTGTGTCTGCAGCCCCGACCTGGCCGATAGTGTTTCTTCTTTCCAGCCTTGCCAGCAGAATCCCTGGACCACGCCTGCCTGGCGGCGGCTCACCTCCTCTGCTTGCATTGAAAAGGTGTGTAAATCTGCCAATTTCGGTCCTGCATGGCAAGCCATCAACACCTTGAAAGACAAAAACACACACCGGCGAAAACATAGTTAGGTCGAAGTTACGGATCCACCCTAGCTAGGTTATCAGTTACTTAACATAACTAGAGTATAAGTCACGTATAACCCCGGTAACCGGAACGTCTTATCCAGTATTTGTTTACAAGGCACGCACGTGCAGCATAGCCTTTAAGTGTCCATCTTACAGGGGGGGGTGGGGGGGGGGGGGGGGGGGGGGGGGGGGGGGGGTTGGGGGGGGGTTATCTTACAGGGGGGGGAGGAAGGGGGGGGGGGCGGGGGGGGCTGTGCGCCCGGCAAGGTATAAGGTTTTTAGAGTGTGTGTGACTCAAGCACTCGAACGTGTCCTCGAAAACACACTTTTTCAGTGTAAAAAAGTGCGTTTCCTATATGTTTTTTTTTTGGTAAGGTCAGCGAAGAAAGCAAGCGAACTCATTTTCGAAAATGCACTTTTTTCATGTGGAAAAGTGCGGTTTCAGGTATGATGTTAAAGTTTGTGTGTGCGTGTGTGTGGCCGAAGCACTCCAACGTGTCCTCGAAAACGCACTTTTTTTGTGTAGAAAAGTGCGTTTCCGATGTGTTTTTTTGTCAGGTCAGCGAGGAAAGCAAACAAATCCATCCATCCGACTCATCTTCCATCTGTGTCTCCACTCACACACAATGGCGGAAAGAAAGCTTGGGAAGGGGGGGGGGGTGGTGTGGGAGAAAAGAGTGGGGCGGGGGGGGGGGGGGGGGGGGGGGGGGGGGGGGGTGGGGGGGGGGGGGGTGGGGGGGCGGGGGGGGGGGGGGAGGGGGGGTGCGGGGGTGGGGGGGGGGTGGGGGGTGGGGGCGGGGGGTGGTGCCTTGGACGCTTAACGTCTATTCTGCGCGTGCTCTTTGTTTTCTTGGATTCTTCCCGATGGGTTCTCGTTTTCTTGGATTCTTCCCGATGGGTTCTCGTTTGAGGAGTTTTGACGTGAGGCCGCGGGGACGACACGGTCAAGGGAGAGGGTTCGGAACATTTTGCTGGGAGAGGGGCGTGGCGGGGAGCGTGACATTCCCTTGATGGGCAGGGGAGTGGGGACACGTGGATGTTCCTCCGTGCCCTCCGCGTTTGCAAGCCCTCCGCGCCCTCCGCGCCTCCGCGCCCTCCGCCTCCGCGCGCTCCGCGCTCTCCGCACCCTCCGCGCCCTCCGCGCCCTCCGCGCCCCGCCCTCCGCACCCTCCGCGACCTCTGCGCCCTCCGCGCGGTCCGCGCCCTCCGCGCCCACCTCCGCGCCCTCCGCGCCCTCCGCGCGCTCCGCGCTCTCCGCACCCTCCGCGACCTCCGCCCCTTCCGCGCCCTTCCCGCCCTCCGCACCCTTCCCGCCCTCCGCGCGCTCCCCGCCCTCCGCGCCCTCCGCGCCCTCCGCGCCTTCCGCGCCCTCCGCGCCCTCCGTGCGCTCTGTGCCTTCCGCGCCCTCCGCGCCTTTCTCGTCCAGGACACAGTGTGCTGATGCTAAGGGTGCATTGCGTCTATTCTGCGGGTGCGTTGCGTCTATTCTGCGGGTGTTTCCTTTGTAAAGTATTTGTTTACAAGGCACGCACGTGCAGCATAGCCTTTAAGTGTCCATCTTACCACCCCCCCCCTACCAAACCCCCCCCCCCCCCCTGCCCCCTACCCCCCCCCCACCAACTTTGGCACCTTTGACCTAACGAAACGCGTTTCAAACCTTTTCAAACTATTGCTCAGCGAGGTCGGCAGCTTAACCGGAGGCTCTTAAATTTAGGGGTAGGGGTTGTAGGGTTTTAGGGTGTAGGGTTTAGGGTTTAGGGTTTAGGGTTTAGGGGTTTAGGGTTTAGGGTGTAGGGTTTAGGGTTAGGGTTTAGGGTTTAGGGTTTAGGCTTGGTTTAGGGGAGACTGTAGACCATGGGGGGGTGGGATACCTGGGGGGGGGGGGGGGGCGGAACGCACAGCGCACAACCATATATAGGGGTGGCCAAAAAGTTGAAAGACTACCTTGTCTAGGGTTTTGTAGTTGTTTTCAGCTTTCTTGTTTTTTGTAAAAGCATTTTTCCGCTTAGCAACAATAGACAAGAGGTGAAACATCGTCACTAAAACGACTAAGTAGTTTAAGAAAATTTTCGCCCGGCTTTGGTCACTAAAACGACTAACTACTTTAGGAAATGTGTCGCCCGGCTTTGGTCACTAAAGCGACTAACTACTTTAGGACATGTGACGCCCGGTTTTGGTTACCAAAACGACTAACTACTTTAGGACATGTGTCGCCCGGTTTTGGTCACTAAAACGACGAACTAGTTTAGGAAATGTGTCGCCCGGTTTTGGTCTCAAAAACGACTAACTAATTTAGGAAAAAAATGTCGCCCGGCTTTGGTCACTAACACGACACTAACTACTTTAGGAAATGTGTCGCCCGGCTTTGGCCACTAAAACGATTAACTACTTTAGGAATTGTGTCGCCCGGTTTTGGCCACTAAAACGACTAACTACTTTAGGAAATGCGTCGCCCGGCTTTGGCCACAGAAACGACTAACTAGTTTAGGAAATGTGTCGCCCGGTTTTGGCCACCAAAACAACTAACTACTATAGGAAATGTGTCGCCCGGCTCTGGTCACCAAAACGACACTAACTACTTTAGGAAATGTGTTGCCCGGCCTCAATGTCCAAAACACATATTTGAGCAAAAGGGGCCAAAGCTGAAAGAGGCCACCCGCCACAACTGGGCTTTCGCCCAAAGTCATGTAGCTAAACAGGCCACCCCCCTTGAATGTCCAAAACATGTATTTGAACAAAAGGGGCCAAAACTGAAAGAGGCCACCCGCCACAGCTGGGTTTTGCCCAAAGCCCTGTAACTAAAGAGGCCAGCCCTCTTCAATGTCCACACTCAAAAACAACATATTTACGGAATCTCTTCCCAAATCTCTTCCCAAATCTGTTACTGTTACGGGCCATTTTGACAGTCACCCCTTCATAAAGAGGCCAGGGGGGGTGGCCTCTTTAGTTACAGGACTGTGGGCGAAAGCCCACTTGTGGCAGGTGGCCTCTTTCAGCTTTGGCCCCCCCTACTCAAACATGTGCTTTGGACATTCAGGGGGGGTGCCCTCTTTAGGTACAGGACTTTGGGCGAAAGACCACTTGTGGCAGGTGGCCTCTTTCAGCTTTGGCCCCTACTCAAACATGCGCTTGGGGGGGGTGGTTGTGGCAGGTGGCCTCTTTCAGCTTTGGCCGGGTTCCTAAACCCTGAACCCTGAAAATATTTACGGAATCTCTTCCCAAATCTGTTTCTGTCACGGGCCTGCGGGGGTCCCAATTTCCTGAACCCTAAAAATATTTACGGAATCTCTTCCCAAATCTGTTTCTGTTACGGGCCATTTTGACAGTTACCCCTTCATAAAGAGGCCATTGCCTGAAATAAGGTTTAGGGTTTAGGGTGTCAAAAAAGGGTTGTGTGGGAGGGGGCGGGGGGTTCCAGTATATCGGGACCATAAATACTTAGTTGTCCAGTAACCTGGGGGAACTAAAGGTTAACCTTTGGGATTATAAGGGGATTCTATCACCCCAAAAAGGTTAAAGGTTACCCACTCTACTACTAGGAATACTAGTCGTAATGATTCCGAGCCCCAGACTGAGACGGGGAGGCCTTCCTGAACTCTGGTTTAGGGTTTAGGGTTTAGGGTTTAGGGTTTAGGGTTTAGGGCTTAGGGTTTAGGGTTTCTGCATCCTTTGGGATTTAGGGTTTGGGGTTTGGTGGTTAGGGCAAGTGCGCGAAACAGATCAGCAAAACCCCGACACCTCCAAAAACCGAAAAACGCCACAAATCCCAAGCCCTACAGAAGCCCTAAACCCTAAACACTAAACCCTAAACACTAAACCCTAAACCCTAAACCCTACATGTCTCGAAGACAGGGCACAGTGGATCGGGCTGCATTCGCTGGAACATGTGAAACTCGCCTCCGAAGGAAAAGCCTGGCCAAGATGTGTTTGCTCGCGGTTTAAGGTTTAAGGTTTAGGGTTTGGGTGTAGGGTTTAGGGTTTAGCGCTTAGGGCTTAGGGCTTAGGGTGTAGGGCTTCAGGTTTCTAGGGCTTGTAGGCTTACAGCAATCCAGAAGCAAAAAGGGGTAGCGCCGTTAGGCCTGATTAGGTCCATCAGCGATCCGAACTCTGAAGCAGGGACTGAGCTTTGGGCGGTTTAGGGTTTAGGGTTTCAGGGTGATTTGGGGTTTCAGGGGTAGGGTAGGTGGGTTCAGTTGCTCGCTTGAGTATATCTCACAGCATATTGAATCTTAGACCTCATGATAGGATCCTTGCCTTTAAGGGGGTTCCCCCCCCCCCCACACTTGCCGACTGTGTTGCGAAATGATCATCAATGAGAACTCAGAAACTTGATTCCCAAAGGCCTCACGCCTAGCAAGGCTACAAGGCTGCTCATCATACAGTGGTTCTGGGATTATATATGTATGTATGTATGCATGTATGTATGTATGTTTGCATGTATGTGTATATGTATATATATATATATATAAATTTTCTATGAGCCTGTACAGCCAGATTCCAACATACATACATACATACATACATACATACATGCATGCATGCATGCATGCATGCATGCATACATATCTGAGCCGAAGCAACTGCAACTTGCCAGCGAGCAGCTGCTAAACGCACTTGGCACGCGGCTGGCTCCTGGCATTGAGATGGAGGGAGGTTTGGGGACGCGGGAAGGGCAGCAAGCAGGTTAGGGTTGGGTTTGGGGTTTACCTGAAGGTTCATGGTACTTACTAACCAATTATAACTGGGCTTATAACCCTACTTATAATTGGGATAACCCCTATAAGGCCCTTTAGGGGTATTATAAGTAGGGTTATAAGTACAGTTAATTGGGTAGTAAGCACCATGAACCTTCAAGTAGGGGTTAAGGGTGGGGGGGGGGGGGTATCGGGGGAGTTGAAACTTGCAAGTCGGGAACCCAAATTCGGGCCTGAATTAGGACACTTCTGGCCCTATCTTAAGAACTACTTTCGAACCCAGCCCCGTCCACACAAGCGACCCTAAACAATAACCCCTAAACCTAAACCATTATCTTAGCTAAGGAAATCGGCATGACCCGGACGCCTACATACCTTATACAAATTCTACAAACCTACCCAGCCTTAAACCCTGCAGAACCAACACCCTAAACCTTAAACCCTTGAACCCCAAAAAACCCTAAACCCTAAACCCCAAACCCATTCGGGGGAAGGTGCCTACTCGGCAGAGTTAGTGCCGGGGTCTAAGGCTGCAGCCGCTTCAAACCCCCGACACAGAATCCTTTGACCTGAAACCTTTCAGAGTGCAGGCTTAGGGTTTAGGGTTTAGGGTCTAGGGTTTAGGGCTTAGGGTTTTGGATTTCAAGGTCAGAGGAAGCGCCACCGAACCCTAAGAACGCCCCCCCCCCCCCCCCCCCCCCCCTCCACCCCCCCCGCCCAAGTGCCCCGCAAGTAGCCTAACACCTACCCTCTGCATAATTTTGTCGGTGTATGCATATACACATATATCAGGCCACCACCTGTAACGCGTGTTTCGCCGTTTCACGTAAACATCCAGAAAAAAGAGAGTCTAATCCTAAACGCAAACTTTTTCTTTCTACACCGATTAAAGGTAGCAGGTATCTGTGTGTTGCTGCCCTGTGGTTTGTAGGGTGTAGGGTTTTAGGGTTTTAGGGTTTTAGGGTTTTAGGGTTTAGGGTTTAGGGTTTAGGGTTCAGGGGGCTAAGTTTGGGATTCGGAGGTGCCTCGCCGTGGCAGTAAATTTAGGTAGGCCCTTGGGATATTTCACAGCTTCCCTGTTTGGGGGTCTGAAGAGGATCATATTGAAGGTTTAGGGTTTAGGGTTTAGGGTTCTTAGTTTCTGAGTTCATAACCCCCCCCCCCCCAAAAAAAAAAAAGTGTACACTTTCAGTTTTTTTTCGGGGGTTCTGGTATCCCAAAAAGTGTAAAGCGTGCTCACTCAGCTACTAAGTATTGTAAGTACATTTTCAAGAGGGCTTTAAGGGCCACCCTAGGAATTGAAATGAAGGGAACCCTAGACCCCAAACTCCAAACCCCAACCCCTGAACGAACCCTAAACCCTAAACCCTAAACCCTCAACCCTAAACCCTAAACCCTAAACCCTAAACCCTAAACCCTAAACCCTAAACCCTGAACCCCGACCAGGAGAGGGGCCTAGAGAGGGAAAAAGGCCGGCCCGAATCCGGAGATCAATGCCCTATGCCCACAAGGGGTTTAGGAGTTAGGTTGAGGGTTTAGGGTTTAGGGTTTAGGGTTTAGGGTTTAGGGTTTAGGGTTTAGGCATGCAGAACTGAGCAGACGCAACTTCCTTGGCCAATAGGGGCTGGCATTGCGTATGTGCAGGCTCTCCGAATCATTTCTTGCGACGAGCTGGGAATAGGGGCTGCTCTTAACCAATCTGGGATCCCGCTACAACCAGCGGCTGCATACACAGTCCGAGGGATGTCAGCTTTGGCGTGCGCTTTCATGATGCAACGCATGAAGGCCATTCGGGCCATCAGCTAGTTTCAATGTGGCAGCTCTCCTTGCTTAGTTGTACTGAGATGTTCGACGAAGTGTTCCGTCAACACTCGATTTTTATGAAGTGTCATGACTTGTCTTGACAGACATGCATACAGATGTGTGAAGGGTCATGCGCCAGTACACTTGGCGCCAAAAACTCCTGATGTATCTGATATGCTGCTCAAGCTTCCATATGTCAGGGCTCTGCTTAGCAGGGCTGGAGGGCATGCAGCAGGCAGCGCTAACAAATCGTCTCCAGGCTGCCCCTGACCTAAATTAATCCTAATTGGATTGGAGCTGTACGGCGAGTACAAAAAGGCCTGGCTTCCGCTTCTGCTTTCTTGGCGTTTCCCACAAGGCTATACCGGCTACCAGTGACTGCGTTTTGCTACGGTGCCTTGTGTTCTTTCACTTC